GGGAGGCGCGTTGCCCGCCGCCTTCCGTCTCGCCGCTGCTCACGATGGAGCCCATCGTGCGGAGTATTAAAATCTCCACCGGGAATCAACGGCCGCCGCCGTCGAATGAGGAGGGGCCGGGAGACTCGCGAGAGGGGAGCTCGATTGAGCGATCCCAGCCTCACGACGCGACGGAGGCCTCTGGGGAGGGAGGGAGGCCATTTGAGACGCTCTTGACGGAACGCACGGTCGAGCATCTCGTCGAGAGAGCCTCCCCCGGTCCTGGAAAGCCCACATCCTTTCGAACCCCCCCAAAAGAAGGGTTGGAGACATCTACATCGGCCGTATCGGTTGGCTCTCCGGTGATATCCGATCGCGAGATCGCCGCGAGCGTCTTGGCTTCCGCGGATAAACGCCGCGCGCAGCGCCCCTCCCCTCAAGAAAGGAGGGCGTTCGAGAGCGAGGTGATGTTGAGGATGGCGAGCTCGGCCTGCACAAGCGCATCTCCGCCGATCACGAGTGAGGGCCTTTTGGAGAGTTTAGCGGTGCATCCCAATAAGCTTAATCGGGGTGGGGAGCCCGCGATGGAGCGGTGTAGCGACCCCTCCCCTCCTTTTCTTAACAGTTGCAGCGATGGCAGCGCCGGGCAGGAGACGGCGAAGGACCCACGGGTGTCCTCCCCATCCCCCACGGACTTCCAACTCCAGTCCAGTCTTCAGGTCTCGGCCGATAAACGCCACGCCTTATTCAGCCAGGGGCTGCTTTCTCAGTCGCCCTCGCGTGGCACGCCGTACGAGGGGCTGGGATCCGCCTCGCCGCTACCGTTGAGCGTCTCGGGTGGCGCCCTCTCGACGCAGCTGGTCGCTTCAACGGTGAAAACCCCTCAGAGCTCCAGCCCCACTGCGATACCCCTCCACGCGCTGGAAGAAAGTACGGGTGCTTATCAGCCCGAGGTGCCGTCGGTTGAACCCACACGCGATGCTCAGTTAAGCGCAGCGGCCTCTGGGATTGGCTCGACCGCCGAGGTGAGAAAAGAAGATGAAGACGGTGGTGAATCACAGAAGTGGAACACCAACCAAGATCAAGGGGGCTTCATGGTGGCGAACTCCACCTGGAATTCCTCAACAAGAGATCCTTTTCTCGACTATGCGTACTTAGAAGAAAGACTTCAAGCTAATAAAAATTATTGTGAATCCGATGAAAATGCTACGTCTAAAGGGAAAACCCCGCATGCGTTAGAAGCAAACTCCGCGAGGTGTGAAGAAGACAATGCCGTTGTGGAGAAAAACGATCCTGCTCTGTTGGTGAACTCTAAGACGCAGGAGAACTCCCCTAGCGAAGAGCTTCCCCAAGGCCTCCCCTTTCTACCGCCTCAGTTCTACCAGCTGGAGAAGGACATTAAGGCGATCTCCGAAGGTCGCCTCTGCTCCGTGACGCTGTCGATGTCTCCCATTCCGCCCTCAAAGCGTACGAGGGAGGCGCCTCAAGTGGGAAGGGGCTCCATCGTGATCCCTTACACGAAGAGGGAGGCCGCCATGGGCGTCTCCCCATGCCCCACCGCGGGGGATGAAAGTGCCGCCAAGCCCCTTCGCCGCAGCAGCCTGATCCTGGCCGAGGGCGGCCCCTACCTCTCCTGCTACACCCCCCTCCAGGAGCCGCACCGGCCTTTGTCGATGCCCTGCAGGAGCACCTCCCCTCCGCCGATCCAAATTCCGAGGACCCTCGCACCACCCCCTCCGCTGCCGAGACCCCCATCGGCCGCCGATCTCGATCACCCCATCCCACAGACGCTCCCGGGCTCGACCTTTGCGTTGGCGGAGAAGGAGGCACCCGCGCCGATGGTGGAATCCCCTACCCCAGTGCCTCCTTGTATTTTGCCGGATAGTAAACGCACACCGGCCCCCCTCTCCCATCTCCCGCGCCCCGTGCCGCTCAGCTCTCAAATTCATCGCCAGCCCCTCTACCCGAACAGCCCCATTCGGGGGGTGGGACGTCATGCCCCTCACAGTCGCCTGCCATTTTCCGAGGGCAACCAAACGGCCGTTGAGGTCCCACCAGCCCGCGCGCAGGCAACCCCTTTACCTTTTTCCCTCAGCCCCCGTGAAGGGCGTTCCACACCGTACCCTCGAGGGTCTATCATCTTAACAGTCAACAGCCCCGAAGACGACACTGAAAGCGAAATCATCAGCCGAACGAGCGGTGACGCGACCAACCACACCACCCCATCGGGTGTGAAATTAGAGGCGGGAATACGCTCGCCCGTGTTACTCGTATCGCCGGAGAGGGCGAGTCCCGTGAACACGCCTCAGGTCTCTGACGACGTACCGGCGCAGGCGCCACTTTCATCGTCCAAGGGCAGCCCGCAGCTCCAAAGTGACCATCCTTCGCAACATGTGGATCCAATTCCTCACGATACATCTTCTTCGTTTGCCACGCCGCAGTCTCGGCAGCAGAACCGTCCGTCCGGGGAAGTCAGCGGCACAACAGGCAGTCAATCCACGCCTAAACGCCCCACCCAGCATAGCGGTCGCCTTAGTCAAGTCGATCGTCTGATGAAGATGCTCCCCGACGATGCCGTCGCGGCGATTGAAACAAGCGTTTCCAAGTGTTCAACAGCGAAAAGCAGCGGTAAAAAAAGCAGCAAATCCACCGGTGTTCAAGATACACCATCGTCAAGCGACATGCAGATTCCCTCCCACGTAGCTGAGGCTTCCAATGTTTCGGATTCGATAGCTCAGCGGATCGCACAGAACCCACGAAAGAAGACGGAGAACTACAGCTATGACTCCTATCTTATCTACCTTAGCCAGCTCAATCGCACGAGTGCCAAGAAAATCCGAAAAAAGGCGGGTAAACGGATGCAAAAGCGGATTGAGAGGGACGTTTTGGAAGATAAAGCAAACGATAAAAACAAGGCAGCAGCCTTGGCCGAAGAAGGGGGGGTGGCCAAAAGAATGAAGGCTGAGACCACTAAAACCCCTCCGACCCGAGTCCCACTCCGCAAAAAGACGGAGTCAAAGGAGGAAGAACCTGTCGTGGTATCGCCATTAACTCCTTCAATAAATTCCCAGCCACAAAGTCACAAGCTAAATGCGGCATCGCATACTTCCGGGGAGCGGCGAGAGACCGCAAAGAAAGGAGGAACCCCAAACAAGCCGACTAGGAGGCTGTTTGCATCCCCTTCATCCCCTCCCAGTCGCGTGTCGCTTCCTGAAAACGAAGAAAGGACGCCACTGAAGAGCTCAGTAGGCTCAGAAAGCACCAAACTTCGAGGCCGCCCAAAGAGACGAAAAACAGACACTGGGGTAGCGTCCACCAGCCCCGTAAAGGAACCCCATCCCAGTAGCCCAAAGCCAGTTTCTCCAAAAGATGAGATCTCTCCAACACAGAAGAGGTCCCCCAAGCAAACTTTAGTGGCTGATGACAAGGAAAAACAAAATTCTGCGCACCCGAATGGGCTTCACCCACGCAAGAAAAAAAGGCACCGAAAGAGGGTTTCGCGACCTTCTAATGAATAGATCGAGAAACGCAATGATAAACTATAGCATCTCTCTGAAAAAAAAAAAAGAGGATTTAAAGGTTCAGATGCGCTCGTATAGGACTATTTGCATATCATCACACTTTCACTCTACTCCGTACTGTACGGAGGGTGCGTTAATCTGAACATCTGGGAGGAGGTGGACTTGATTTTATCTTTTCCTCTTTATACTTTCTGTATGCAAGATTAATAGTATCAATTTTAGACTTTTTACTGTTACCAAAAAGATATATGAGAATGCATCCTTAGGATAGAGATATGCTTTGAGGATTATATATGCATTTGTACATGTATCTTGGAAGAAATGCAGATATCATCTCGCCTTTAGATAAAAATAAACACTTTCTAGTTCTTGTTTTTTAAACATGCGTTTTTTAGCTTCTTTTTTCATTCCTTTTTCGGGCAGGTTAGATTTCATGGACAGATAGAATTAAATTGTCATCTTGAACATATTATTTCCCTGCATATGTGCGATCTTGCTCTCCATTTTTGTGTCTTACCTGTATCAGTGCTTCTCATGCATCTAATTCTTTTCCCTTCTAAAATTTTCTTCTCTGATCCAAATCTTGAGAAATCCGCTACATTTTAGTAGTTGCAAGAGCATTTTACCGTAGCTCTTCTGCGCAAACTTGTTGAGTCACTTTACTTCACTGCTTCCTCATCTTGGCTCTAGGAAGCGATGAGTGGACATTTTCGCTGCTTTCCCAGATTCCCTCACTATGTGGCATCGTTTATTCAGAAAAACGCCCCCATAAGGTGCATTGCGTATGGTACGCCCCTCCCTCTCGGCGATCGTGAAGAAGTTCGAAAGCCTCCTATCGACCAGGATAAGTTAAAGTTGCATCTTGACCTGGAAAGTCTCGACTTCCGTAAGGTGATCGCCGCCACACGAGACGCGATGGAAAAGGACCGGTTGGCCAAACGACGCTTTCATGCCGAAATTAATAACCTCGGGACGGCCCTGCAGACTCCCCCCTCTCCGCCTGAGGACAAGGGGCGTGGGGCACCGTCCCTGTCTCAGGCTGAGGCCTCGTCTAAGATCTCATCCCTGTTACAGGCTCTACCCTTGTCACAGGCCGAAGCCTCGTCTGAGGTTTCATCCTTGTCGCAGGCCTCACCTCGGTCTCCGTCCCAGGCCCCCTTCCCGTCCAAGGCTGAGGCCACCAAGGCGCGCTACACCCTGACGGACCAGCTGCGGGACTGCGCGTTGGGAGGGGACGCGGACCGGGCCTTTCGTCTCTTCCAGGGGGCCAT